TCTTTCTCCCTCCCTCACCTTCTCCCTCCCTCCCTCACCTTCTCCCTCCCTCCCTCACCTTCTCCAGGGTTAATGACAGCATTAATGTGTTCAATGACTCCGTCAGAATTAATGTCTCCATGGGCAGCATGAGTGGAGGAGAGGGGCAGTGAGAACAATGGACGCCCTGAAGATAAATGAAGGACCTCAATACCCTATGGAAGAGGAATGGGGGATAGATAGTACAAATTGTACATGTATGTGCACATCTACATGTACATGCATACATGTATATGTACACATGCATACATGTACATGTTACATGTAGTTTAGTAATTTGTGATGAGAATGTGCTTAAACTTTCTATTTGTGGTGTAAAAAGTGGAAGAATTTGGAATGATTTCATATTCTACTTTTGAAAAAGCTAACTATTAATGAGGAGCTTAAATTGAGTACATGTACATGTAGTAAGTGATTCCTAAATTGAAATGGTCTACAATAATGTCAGTATAACTCAGGATACTACCTAAAACTAAACCTTAGTATTACACTATACCTTCATAGTGTGTATGACCAGTACATTAGGGTTGAGTACGTGTTCAGTTGGTGAGTGAGGCCTCAGTCCTCCAAAAGCATACCCAGCAATATGATCCATTGCCAATCCACTGACTAATGGAAAGAATGTACAATGTGTGTGTGTGTGTGTGAGAGAGAAATATATTAATAAATACTATGTACAGTAGAATAGGAATTTGGGTTATGGCTGTTTCTTAAAAAATGGCCAATTTTTGAAAAATACCCAAGACTATAGCCCATGTTTTTTCGGAAAAATGGCTCCGAAATCACCCCAAATTTTTATTACATTTTCTGATACATATTGATGTCCTTATGCTATATAGAAAGTTTGAGCTGATTCCGACTTCAAATTTTCAAGTTACAGCCATTTTAAGAAGACACTGAAATTCTGAAAAATACCCAAAGCTATAGCCCATGGTTTTTTTTTACAAAAATGGCTCCGAAATCACCCCAAATTTTTATTACATTTTTCGATACATATTGATGTCCTTATGCTGTGTAGAAAGTTTTAGCTGATTCCGACTGCAATTTTTCAAGTTACGGCATACAAAATTGATGTTAAAATTATTCCTTGTACTTATACTCACATTCCATCATTAATTATTATTATTATCTGACCTTTGCTAATATGATCAGTGACTCCTGGTTCATCTGATTTCTTCTTATCTTTATTAAATTGTGCTAACTCTAACTTTGTATCAAAATCATCAGTCCATGAATGAGGCTATTAATACATGTAATTAATTAATTTATTATTGTTAATTAATGAAGACCACACCCACCATTATTTGACGAATAGCTGAGCTGTACTGATGCCAGGAGACCTCTCCTTCATGTAGTAAATATTTATGAAATAATAACTTGAAATGCTACAAAGAAAAAGAACTACATGTACATGTACGTATATACAGTATAGTAATACATGTACATGTACAACATGAAATAGAAATTGAACTACATGTAAATGAGGATTTATTGTGGAATATTTTGAAGAATACACATGTAGCTGGTATTTATTAGAACTGTAAAAATTTTCTCAAACATTTTAGACAGTATCTCTGTCTTATTCTGCAGCTGCTAAAAGCTCAAAAAGTGGCCACATAGCTGTACATGTATACCATATGTACATGAATGTCTTCAGTGGACTGTTGCTAATTATTACATGTACATTGTACTTGTATTTCTCCATAAAGTAAGTACATAATAATAATGATAATGATACATTAGTATACTCTTACTGTGAATGATGATAATCCAATGTCATATGCAGGATGGACCTCAAAGTCTCCTGGTTCGTGTTTCCATAGCAACTCGCCAGTCTTACCACTAACAGCATAAGTACAGTAATGACCCAATGACTCCAACTAAAGAAAAATAATGATAATAATAATAATAAAAATAATCATGCATGTAATTTAATAATATTTAAAATTTAAAACTTAAAGTAAATGTACATGTGTTCAAATTAAAATTCTATTATAAATATAAAAAGTACAAAATTTTTTACTTTTTGATGCTCCATCTTTTCCTGTTCTGCTCCTCTTCTCATCCTATCACAAATAAACATTGAAAATAATAAAATATGTACAGCA